AGCAGAAAGACTGTTTTTCTGTATCTGCTAGAGTTACTCTTATGGCGCTCTTTTAAATATTAATTTTATTTCAGTCAAGCTTTATTCATGTCTAGTCTTTGCAGTCCTTTCAGGGATGTATGGATAAAATTCATCATGCAAGAGGTGGACCTAGAGTTGAGGATTGCAAAAGACTTTGATGTAACTTCTAAAATGACCTTTTTCTTGTTCCATTTTTTTGAACTCATATGCTTTGTTTATTTTAAATAAAGTTGAATCATTTACTATAAATACATTAACTCATATACTTGGTTCACTTTTAATAAAGTCGAATCATTTACTTTACAAAAACATGAGGGGATAGAGTATATTGTATAGAATTTCTCTTCAACGCACTTGAAGCCTTCCTAATAGCTCTAGAATTGAGCTATTACAGGAGTTCGTTTTCTTTAGAACAATGTTTTCGTTCAAAAATATTATACAAAGTATAGTAAAAGACAAGTCTATAAAATAATACAAAGTATATTGTGAAATAAAAAAAGTTCACATACAGAGATGTAAATGTACTATGAAAAGGCCCCCCAAAAAAAGAAAAACTCCCGGGCCCAGTTTCTTTCTCCTTCCAGATAATAATTGTGCTTCTAACTGGGCCAGCCCAGCAGACAAATAAGTCCAAGTGCGACAGGTGATGAGGTGAAGTGAACCTACGGGCGGCAGCAGAAGAGTAATGGTGGCTTCCTCGCCGTCGCCGCCATCTCCCTCCGCTCCGATACAATCCACACCCTTGTCCGTCCACTCTGAGGTAAGCTACCCCACCACCTCCCTCGCTCCCTGCCCCCGCCTCTAGGTCAAACCCTCCTTCTTTACACACACAGTTCAGTAGTTCAGTGTCATGTTTACCGTACCAACTTGCTCCATCGAAGAGTCGGTAGTGACGGTATGACTGCTAATTTCTGCTAATGAAAAGCAGAACCGGCCAGGATGAATTTCCTCCCCTTCTGAATGTTGTATGAGTTAAAACAGTAAGCACCTCTTCTTGTTCTGTAAGAGTTAAAGCTGAGACTCCTATGTGGGAATTGATGCCATGAGTTGTGACTAGCACAAATGCCCGTGCGTTGCAACGGGAGAAAAATAATGAGGTGCTAATAATAAGAATGGTATATGAGTGATCATGCACAGAACTGGTTGAAGGAGGGAACTTTGTGGGACATACCATATGCTTCAGGGAGACTTCGTGTATCCATGTATCTGTCTTCCGTCGGCTTTCTGATCGAATAGAAAGCACAACATCAAAACATGAACAATTTGCATTTTGACGCTCGTCTTGCTACTTAAGTCATTGCGTCTTTGCAGTGACCTCCTTTGACTAATATAACAGCGGCTTCATCTCCCGTTGTGAGGAGGCAGGAGGTGAATTAAGTTTGGCGAACCTTCACAAGAGGCTCTTGCAAGCAACAAAATTGAGGTTTCGTAAGCATGCACGCTCGACTACCCATGTGATCACAAGATGACAAAAATATGGCAATTCGATCATAAATGTCATATATACCTGATCGCAAGCACATGTGCCAAGTCTGATTATCATGTACATGAAGTTGCAGGTCCTTCTTAAGTTGTAGGTCCTTCCACTGTCGAGGTGGACAACTCTCGCCGTCGGAGCCGAGCCGCCATGGTGTGTGGTCACCGCCATGCAGATCACTCCTCTGTGTTGGTCCGCCTCGTCGTCGAGCTATTGCACTATGTGGTCGGCCGATGGCCAGCGCCGGCCGAACCGTCGCATCGTGCATGTCCGTCGGGTCACACACTCTCGCATCAATTTAGCGGCTCACAAATCCCACATTCCTATTAACATTAATTCATATTTATACTATGTCATTTAAAAAATATGATGTCCGAAAGGTAAAGAGTTTACAATGCTTGGCATTTTCTTGTTGACACATTGCCGCCAGCAGTAGGAGCCCACCCCCCATTCCAACATATCCACTTCTTTTGTGGACATTATCATCGGGCCTCGTTGGGGATTAGGGGTGGACTAACAAGCAGCTCGGCTAGTTAAGCTCGTGCTCGTTAAGGCTCGGCTCGTTAAGATTAACGAGCAGAAAACCCTGCTCGGCTCGGCTTGTTTGAAGCTCGTTAATCTCGTGAGCGCTCGTGAGCGCTCGTTTACAGATTATAATGTGTTATGATATACAAAATGAATGTGTACCTGAGGTTTTCAAGATGAAATATGGTGACTACAAAAAGAAATGCACTAGTTTTTTTTGTCTCATATGTCGATTAGACTGAATTGATGGGCTGAGGTGCTATAAAAAGGTTGTCATGTAAGATGAAAATATTACTTATGTTGTTACTTACGAGTTTAACGAGCTACTCGTGAAACTCGTTAGCTCATTCTTTAAGCTCATTAAGCTTAACTAGCTGAAATCAATGATTAGCTCTGTTCATTAAAAAGCGAGCTCCGAGCTTAATGAGCCGAACTATCAAGCGCGCTCACTAAGCTCGCGAGCTACGAGCTTTTGGTCCAGCCCTATTGGGGATCATGATTAGGGCACACAGAGCTGCAGGAGAGATGTTAAAACAGAGGGGAGTGCTCCTCTATCCCAGCTGACGTGCGGGGGTGAAACATAACATGAGTAAGATGGAGTGTTGTCGCATTATCTCTACTCTTCATCCCTCCCTCTCCCCTCCCTATCTCACGAACGAGATCGGTGACGTTCAGAGTTGAGGATTATCTTAATTGTCAGCAAGTCTAAGTGAGCTCCAAATACCTTCCCCTTTGAGAAACATCTAGTTCTAACATTTCACTCACTTTTAATTGTTGTATTTGACGACAGTAACAACAAACATCAAGTAATTACCTGCAAAAAAATCAAGTAATTATAATCGGCGAAATTACTTCACGTGCGATAGAATCTAGTACGATTTCCGTCCGACGTGACAGTGGATCATGGTTTTGGGTACCGGGCGGAAAATTCGGGTACCGCCCGGTAACGGCGTTTCTGGCTGCCCCACGATAATTAGGTATCTCAAGGAAAAAAAACGAACTTTTTAAATTTAAACTCCTACCTTCTAGTTAAATGAGATATATCTCTAGCTCAAACATAAGCGTACTTGTGTCCTAGTGGTAAGGGTGGCGCCGCCGTCGTCCATGCTGGTGGTGCCGCCAGCAGCACTGCTCAAGTTCCAAGTTCCGTCCTCCCCGCCCCTCATCCAACAAAGCAACCTTCGTTCCATTCCAGTCGCGCTCCTTTCCCACTTTGGAGTTCATTCATCCTTTATTCCGTTCCCTTTGGCGTCTTTTTTCTTCCTTGTAGCCTCTTATTTCTTATTCCTAGATGGCTTCTCTTATTCATAGATAGCTTCTTAACACCCAGACAAATCTAAGACGTATATAAATTAGATGCATTGGATGTAAGGAGCCGATGTGGGACTATTTAAAAAGTAAATTGACATAGGATAGGTGGGTTGGATCACCGGCTGCAGCGGCGTAGCTCGCATTGTTTTATTCAAAGCACGTTGAGGTTGGTTTTGAGACCGAGAAAGAAAAGCTACGTAGGAAAAAAGAAACCTACGTGGTAGGAAGTTTTGAGACGGACGAACGAACGGATGGTTTTGAGACCGAGAAAGGAAAGCGGCGTACGGAGTTTTGAGACGGACGAACGAACGGACAAAATTACGCGGGTAAAATAGTACCACCCCGGATGTAGAAAATAATATAGGTGAAAAACTGAAAGCGTAAATTCACGGGAAGAAACGTATTGTGACGGTGAACCCACGGAGTCAATCCGTGCTTTATTATTATTAGTGAAAGATAAGTAGCTGAATCAAAAACTAGACTAGCCTGATACACCTACAGGTGCCTGATGTGATGCCATGTGTGATAGGTAACTGAAGCATAGACTGGACTAGCTATCACAATTCCTGGTATCTTTGCTTGTCTCATTATAATTCATCCGTATACCGTGCCTTGGAATGTTAGACTTTGTAATCGCATCACAGGAACCACACATCCTTGTGTTTCTAGATGATGAGGATATCTGTCACTTACTGTGCCATGTGGTTGCTGTGTGTGTTAGTGTTAGACCCAGTAAAACAAGTTCAGTTAAGGACTTAAGCTTTCAAAGAGAAAAATAAAAGTCAAAGCAATACGCTGTATATATTCAAGTCGGCCAGCCGAATGAAACTCGTACTCATGTTTTTTTCTTCTTCTTCTCAATTATCTGTATCACAATCCCTCTGCAGGTGCCTGATGCCTTGTCTGATAGTTAATGAAGCAGAGACGGGATTTGCTAACAAATCAGGTATCTTTATATTTGTCTCATTATTATAATTCATCTTTGACCCCTGAAGGTGCCTTGGAACGAGACATCTATCGTGGTATTTCTAGATGACGAGGATATCACTTACCGTGCCATGCAGTTGCCGTCTGTGTTAGGGTGCCAGGAAAACCAATTTAGTTAAGCATTTTAGCTTGCAAAGAGAAAAATTAAAATAAAAGTAATTCACATTATATATTCAAGTCGGCAACTTCTATTAATGCTTCTTTTCTGAATTGTCTGTATCACAATCGCCAACTGTGCTGTCCTTGCAGTTTTGTAACCATCCATCGTTGACCGGTGACTGACGCCCTGTGTGATAGGTAACCGAAGCAAAGACTAGGCTAGCCTACAAATCAGGTACCTTTATTTGTCTCATTATAGGTCTCAGTCCCATCAGTGGAAGGGGAACCACATATATATCCTGGTATCTAGATGCGAAGAACATCCTGCTATCTAGATGCGAAGAACATCCTGCTATCTAGATGAGAAGGACATCCTGACTTGCGGTTGCCGTGTGTGTTAGGTTTTTGCGAGCATAAGACATACAAATCACATCAATGGTGGTAGCCAGTCTTCCGTCGACCGGTGACTTGTCCTCTGAACCCAAGGACAGCTCCACTATATAACAAGGTCCAGACCAGACTTCATAAGCATGCATACATACATGCCCAAATAGCCGCAAGAGAAAACCCACACTGAAATATGTCTGACCTCAGGATTCTTTTCCAAAGAACTCTGGTAGCTTTGTTGTGCTTGCTCCTGTCCTTTCCGCCACCAGCCACAGCCTCTCCCCTCTATGCACCAGCTTTGAACGGGAGCTGTGTCGCGTACGAGAGGATCGCGCTTCTCTCCATCAAGGAGAGCCTCTGGGAGCCCAGCATCAACCTCTCGTCATGGCAAGGTGAAGAATGCTGCAACTGGAAAGGTGTCAGGTGCAGCTACAAAACCGGCCACGTCGTCAAGCTCACTCTTCGTGGAAGTGCTCAAGACTGCCTCAGATACTCTACGTATAGAGGTGCGATAAGCCACTCCTTGGTTACTTTGCAGCAACTAAGGTATCTAGACTTGAGCTGCAATAACTTCAACTGGACTGAGATACCGGAGTTCATTGGTTCTTTCCCAAGCCTGAGATATCTCAACCTTTCATATAGCTTGTTCTATGGGAGAGTACCCCCGCAGATTGGGAATCTCTCCAAGCTTGCCTACCTGGATCTCAAACCCCCTAGCTATAACCTATTGTACTCAAGTGATCTTCAGTGGCTCTCACACATGCCATCACTGAAGCACCTCGACTTGAGCTATATGAACCTTACCAGTGTAGTAGACTGGGTCCATAGAATTAACATGCTTCCGAATCTTAGCAAGCTTTACCTACAGCAAACTGGCCTAAGAAGCACAATTTCTGTCCTTGGCCAATCCAATCTTACAGCACTCGAGGTGCTTCACATCTCATGGAATAACTTTAACACCACCATTGCTCCCAATTGGTTTTGGAACTCAACGTCCCTCACTTCTCTGAACTTGGAAGCTTGTCGCTTTTATGGCCCTATTCCGGAATACATTGGCAGCATGGCTTCTCTTGAAGAAGTTAATTTCGGGGGAAATAATCTCATGTCCACCATGATACCATCAAATTTCAAAAATCTATGCAACCTGAAGATACTAGATCTGTCAGCCAGCCACACCTTAGGGGATATCTCAGAGTTGATGGGGCGGTTACCAAACTGTACTTCGAACAAGATGCAAGTGTTGGACTTGGGTGAAAATATGTTAGGTGGGGCCATGCCCAGTAGTCCAGGACCCCTTCAAAACCTCACCTGCTTGGCCCTGCCTCACAATAAGCTTACAGGACCTATTCCGAAATGGATATGGTCACTCACCGAATTGCTTGTTTTGGATTTAGAAGTCAACCAACTAAATGGTGTGGTCACTGAAGATCACCTAAAAAGCCTCAGAAATTTGAAGATCTTAATTTTGGGCAAGACACTTCTTCAGATCAAGGTCAGTCCGAATTGGATTCCTCCATTCAATCTGCAAGTGCTTCTCTTAGAGGGTTTGAACCTAGGGCCGGAATTCCCGTCATGGATTAGATCACAGGCAGACCTTCAGATCCTTATGATTGCAAATGCAAGCATAACTACAGTCCCAGATTGGTTTTGGGAAGCATTTTCAAGGGCAGAAGTGGTGGATCTGTCCAAAAATCAGATAACTGGCACACTACCAGCAACAATGGAATTTATGGCAGCAGAAATAATGGATCTCTCCAATAACAGATTTACCGGTGCAGTTCCAAAATTTCCAAGAAATATTAAAGGCATGTACTTATCCGTGAACTCTTTATCAGGGACATTGCCATCAGATTTTAGAGCCCCATTGTTGCAGTATCTTAGTATTTATAACAATTCAATATCAGGCCCCATTCCATCTTCATTATGCTCATTGACACAATTGACTCTGCTAGACCTATCAGGGAACAAGCTGACAGGAGAAGTTCCAAGTTGCGAAGAGGATTCTAACCCACCCACGCATAATCTTAATGTGGTAAATTTGCATACCAACAACCTCTCAGGGGAGTTCCCAAGAGTCTTTCGAAGGTGCCCCAATCTTGTTTTACTTGATCTTTCATATAACAAATTGTCTGGAGACCTACCTGTCTGGATGGGGGAAAATTTACCGTACTTAGCATTGTTACGTCTGCGGTACAATATGTTTACTGGCCAAATTCCTGTTGAAATCGGAAAGATTAGAGAGCTACAGTTTTTAGATCTTGCACACAACAACTTCTCAGGAAGTGTGCCAGACTCATTAGTTAACTTGAGTGCAATGGCCCACACTTCTGGGGATAGTGATGTTCTTTATACTGTCATTAGTAATAGACAAGTGTTTCATGTGTACAACTCATATGATGGCTATATTTCCTTTGGGGAAACATTATCTGTTCTTACAAAAGGGCAAGAACTTGTATTTTTATCTCAAATCCCATACATGGTGGTTCTTGATTTGTCGTGCAACAATTTCACTGGAGCGATCCCTCAAGATATTGGTGCTCTAATTGGATTAAGAAGTCTGAACTTTTCATGGAACAACTTAAGTGGTGCAATCCCTGAGAAAATTGGCCAGCTCAAGCAATTGGAATCTCTTGACCTGTCAAACAATGAGCTTTTTGGCGAAATCCCTTCAAGCATGACAGACCTTACCTCTTTGAGCCATATGAACCTGTCATACAACAATCTTTCTGGAAAGATACCAACGGGAAATCAATTCCAGACTTTTGATGCATCTGACTACATTGGAAACATTGGATTATGTGGTTACCCCTTGATGAACAACTGTACAGGAAATAGTTCAAGTGGACCTACAGATGCAGATCATGGAGATGGATCCGATGATATATCCCTTTACCTTGGTTTGGCTGTTGGGTATATCCTTGGCCTTTGGGTGGTCTTCTGTGCGATGTTGTTTAAAAAAAGATGGAGAACTGCTTATTTCATATTTGTGGAAGGGCTGCAGGACAAGATTTATGTGGCAGTGGTACTGAGATGGGCCAATTTCAAGAGGAAAGTCCGTGAAACTTAAATACTGTTATATGTTATCGATGATAATCATCATGTATGCATTCGATCCAGAACTTTCTTTTCTACAAATGGCTCTCTATATCCGAGAGTGTTGTGACAAAAGTGTATTGTATGAATTGGCATGTACGACTGCCGTGTTCTCCATATGTAATAAATGTTGCGCTATTTATAAACCTTTTGCCATGTATTGTATTTCACTTTTTCTATTTTTAAGTTGAGAATTGATTCTTGCCCTGTAGTACTGTTGTAGTGTTGATATGCTATATATTCAAATCACTAAAATGTTCCTTCAGATACATGTTAAGTAAGCAAACCAAATCAATTCTAGAAGCATACATACCCTGATACGACATTCTAAATATTGAGATGAGAAGCAGCAGCTGCTGTCGATGGTTGGTTCCTTTACAGAATGTGTTCCCGATGGATGATGTTTGCAAAAATGCGGAATCAATGGCTGTAGTTTCAGCTTGTCATGGCTATGCTGCCAATTTTATCTTTTTCAGTTCATATGCCCAAATGGGCTAGAATTCCAATTGCAATGTAAGAACAAATTATTTTGGCTGCTAGTGATGAAAAACAGTAGATGAATTACAAGTACATTTATAGAGTAGTAGCAATTAACACCTGTCTCAGTTGATAGTTCCCAGTACTGACAAATATTTTGAGAAGTTAAATACCTGGCCTGATGAAGTTCATCGGCACTCAAACCTGGCATGAGACTGAGAAGAAGAACCGGAAGCTGATAATACCATAATTAGGAGGAGAAGTCAAGGCAACAGAGAGTTCCAGTGTTGGAGTTCCGTGTATAGGATTGTAGGAAGGCATTTTTTATTGTCGTGGAAGTGTAGGAAGGAGGGGTGAGTAGATGATTCCGTGATCGGCATGGGTGTTGATTGCACAGTCTGCTGCAAACAAAATGGTTAGTGTTATGAGAATCGAACTGAATTGAAAGGAAATGGGTGTCGATTTATTGACAAAGGTTGTCAGCACAGATTTAATTTGGTTAAGCTCAGGTAGCATCGGTTTGAGTTGTAATTTACATGCACACTCTCGATACTTGCTAGTCGCAGCAAATGTTCATCCTTTGAGCGCAATTAAACCAAAAAATTGCACAATTTATCTTGTATTTTAACACCGCATTTGGGCATTCTGTAGCGTTCAAGACTTACTGCACCATTGAACAGATTCCTTGTCAAGACATCTCACACTTGATCGATACTTTTTCTTCTGCTCCTGCATGTGCGTCTTTCATCAAACTAGTTCAGTTTGCGAGACTTGCACTACAACAATTCTACTTTTCAGTTACAAACAAGTCAAGATAGATGTGTATTAGCTTCAACAAGTAGTAAAAAAAGCAAGCCTCTACTGAAAATTCCACGCACATGATGCATACATGCGATGCCTCTGATGAATTGATGATCACATCAAAGCATACATGCATACTCTGCAGTGATGAATTATTGAAGACTTGCTGCTCTGAGTTTACTTATGCGATGCCTCCTCAGATTGTTTGCTGGTGTCAATCCGGTTGATATGCAAGACGCTCTCACCCTACGAAATTAGTATTCAACCAGAGACATGAACAAATCTTGTCACAGATTTCGGAATGGAATAGTACAGTTGGTGCCAAAATAAATATGATTACAAATAAACGCATAAGAGTAAAAGACCTTGTGCTGAAAAACTAATATATCATCTTTTTCATAGCATGTCTTGTTACATGTGAAAGAATGTGTGCAGCCACAGCAGGCGTGTTTCATTGAATCAATCTGCGGAACTTGGATAGCGAGTTCGCATTCTCGATTCATAGGGAAGCACACATAACTTCGCAGTAACAAATAGAATTCTCATCTTAAAATACAGAGAAGAAACATGCCGGTAAAGTCTGCGTCAATAAGTACACGTTCTCCTCATCAAGCTGATCCATTCGTAGTAAGAATCGTCTGCCAGCTGCCATCTTGTTAAGGGAATCAGCAGTTGCCACTAGATCTGATCAGGGAGCATAACTTCAGAGGCCACCACCAGCCACCGGACTTGAGTAGCGTCTTGTGATATAGTCCGTTGGATCTTACAGTTCTCCCCGCAGCTGAATATATATGTCTTCACAGGCCAACAACACCATGTATCAGAAATTGCAAGTATATGTACAACATGCAGCGAGATAGCTAGAGAAAGGAGCTTGTTTCTGAACTGACCGGTTATGAGGATGAGCTCAGTTTGCTTCAGATGCCCACAGACTTGTTGAGGCACTGCGAGCTTCTGGCTAGCTCGGAAAATGGATCGATCATGCGGCTTCCAACTTCACACTTTGACAACATTCAGTGTCCTTGGCAACTACTGGATTGTTTGGAACTTGGGATGTTTATTCACTTGAGCTGCAGAAGCATCGGGAATATTGCCCAAGGCTCATCTCTCGGTCTTGTGGATATCAAGATACCTGAATTTGAATAATGCTCCTCTTCTGAGTGAACAATAATTTCTTCAGGAGTTACCTTCCTCCAGTTTTGACTCCTTGGACCTTGCAGGCTAGTAACCTTCAGCAAATTTTGAACCAATCAGACAGTTTACCATGTTGTTCCAGCTTGTCCCATGTTGAGAAAGTCTAGTGTCCTGCAGAATTTGGTAACCAAAGAAAGCTTCCTCAAATTCATTGCACATAGGAGGGTTTCATTTCACACATTCCAGTTTCTAATGACCAGAATCTAGCTAAAAGAATTAGACGACAACTAGCAAATATGTTAGTGCATAAATACTGTTTCGGGCACAACTGCTAATGAATAGAAACAGAGGAAGTAGCAGCATAGAGGCCTTGTGACAGACATTTGATGTGCTCAACAAACAAAAACAGGAAGAGGTGAGTGGAAGGTACCAGCATGGTGGTAAGTCGTCAACTCGTCATATGAATGCGGTGAGATGAGGCCAGACCTTCACCATTTACAAAGAGGCGAGCAGCATCAGCATGAATTGTATGTGTAGAGCAGATCACCATGGCTGCTGGAGACAAAAGAAAGAGATGAACACTGTAAGTTACATTCAGCACGAGTAGTAGTAGGAGAAATTATAACATTCATCAGCCAAGAGGAAAAGTTAGTTAGCTGACCTGATGACGTTCGTTGTCGGCATGACCACCGCTTCTGATTGTGAGCTCTCCCCCATCATACAAGTCTGTGGGAGGAGGGATGGTTCCTCTTGCTCCTCTATTTCTGCAACACCAGGTCCTTGGACGACATTCCCCAAGTCATGCTCGCTGCAGTCTTCCTTGAGTTTCAGCACGGGATGGTTGGGGTGTGTGTCCACTTCAGCTTGCAGCACACCAAGGTTCGCCACTCTGCCTTGGTAATAAAGTGAAATCTTCTTGAGCCTTGGGAGGTGCTTGATACCAGTGATCCCTGATTCCAACGTCACATAATTGAATGCTAGCTTTTCCATCTGGGGCAATGCGCCCTTCTGGAATTTCACCTCCCTCAGGTCAACCGGACTAGTAATGCAAAGTTTTCTGAGATTCAGAGATGCTTCTTCTCTGAACACTAACTTCTTCCCATAGTAAGCAGCCGCCCCTAGATTGAGGAGCATGAGCTTGGGCAGCCTTCCTAGCATTTCCGTGACTTGATCTTCCTTTAGGTAGCTCCACTCCAAGTGAATCTTCACCAAATGCTTCATACTTCCAACCCACTCGGGCATCTTTCCTCCAAGATCTCCGAGCAACTTCAACTTATTTAGCAGGGGAGGAGGGGATGAAACATTATGCAACCACTCGAGTGATCCATTATAGTCAACATCCAGACTAAGAGAGCGCAGGGAAGAGAGCTTCTCTATGGCGGCACCGAGATACAGTATCTTGCGTTTTTGCTCGGCAAACCTTCCTCTACCTACCATGCTCAGTTTTCTTAGCTGAATAAGATCCCCCAACTCTTTAATTGCTTTCTTGCTGGTTTGTTTGATGTCCACCACCTCTAGTATCTGTAGCTCCTTTAAGTTGCCAATCCCTCTTGGTATCCTCACACCTTCTGTCTCAGACCACCGGCTAGAGTATGCCATATGTATCTCAGCAGTTAGTTCAGCACGATGATCAGCATCAACTGAAGGTGTGCATAGCATTGGCAGGCACAATGTGTGCATCAAACATTTCATGGGTTCATCCTTATCAAAATAGTCGTATAACTTCCATCTGCTACAGCGAAGGCTGCGAAGACAATGGAGTTCAGTGATCCCAGTTGGCAGTGCTGCTATATAACTCTTTCTAATGTCCAAGTTTTGCAAACCTCGTAATCTCTGTATCGACTTTGGAAGTGCATATATATGTGAAGGTCCTTCAAAATCCACATATTTCAAATGGCACAACAACCCAATGTTGTTGATATCTTTTTGTCTAATTTTAAACAGTGTATTCTTTAGATCCAAGGCTCTAAGCATCCTCATGTTGGTTGAACAAACTGAAGGCGAGGGCTCCGTGGGTCTCTCACCAAACATTGTTAGTGACCGAACATGGCTCCAATCCATGCCAATATTTTGGCACTTGCTACCATGGTATGCTACATGACGGAAGTTCCCCTCTAATATACTCGCTTCACTATCTCCCAGCAGGTGCACAAAGTTTTCATCTCTAGAAATTGAGACCATTACATCACGTATGATATCATGGACCCGGCAGCTCTTAACAATTCCTTCTATGTTCACTTTTGATGGTTGAATCATGTTTCGGTTGATTAGCTCATTGAAATAACCTATTCCAACATCCCCAACATACACTCCACCACTAGCTGTAACATACCCCTCTGCTATCCATCTATCAACCAAACGTCTTCTCTTGATTTCAAAATCCTCCGGAAAGATGCTCAAATACAGGAAGCATGATTTAAGATGAGATGGCAAGTGGTTGTAACTAAGAGTGACCATCCTCCTCATTGCTTCAAGGCTTGGGTTAGTCTCAAGCTCTGAGGGAATCTGCTCATAAATACTCTCCCACATTTCTACCACTTTGGTAGCAAGCAAACCTCCTATGGTGAGTATAGCCAATGGTAAACCACCACACTTATTTACTATTTTGGAAATCACGTTCCGCATCCTTTCATCACTTTCAGTTTCTTTGTGTGTTTTCCCAATCTTTTTCAGTAACAAATTTGTTGCTTGATCTATCTGTAGGTGTTTAAGGTGGTAAATAAGCGATTTGGAAGCACACTCCTGAGCTAGGCCAATATCTCGTGTTGTTACTATTATCCGGCTACCTTTGATGTTACTACTAGGAAAAGCAATATCTTTTATCCACCCCCACACATCAATGGTCCACAAGTCATCAAGAACGATTAAGTACCTCTTCTCCTGTAGCATTTCCCTGAGGTAGCTAGCGAGGTCATCTACTTGCACCATCTTTCCTTCAAGTTCCTTCAAACATTTCTTCAGTTCTTCATTTCCGAAAAGTTGCATGATCATATCCTTGAGCATCTCTATTTTGGAAAATGTCTGCGAGACTGTGATCCAAGCACGGTAAGAAAAATTATTTACAATATCTTCCTTACTTTCATATGTCTTCCTTGCAAGAGTGGTCTTTCCTAAGCCACCCATGCCAACAACAAATACCACTTTGGCAGCACCACCTTTAGTCTTGACATCCATCAACTCAATCAACTCCCCCTTAGGCTTGGAAAATCCAACAAGTTCTGCTTCATCGACGTTGCTAGCCGAGTGATTGCGAATATCTTCCATGTGAGAATCAACTTCATCAATGGCATCGGAGGCATCCATCTTGATCAAGTTGTACCGGGTGTTCCTAGCACTTACTTCTTCAACTCTTGTTTTGAGATCGCGAATCTGAATTGCAATGCGGTGGCGATCTTTGAGCTTCATCAGCTGCCATGACAAGCTTTGGCTTCCGACATGCACCATGAACTCACCAAGGCCATCTTCAATATTATAGGACAAGTCCCTCACTTGCTTTGCCCACACCTTCAGGAGCACGTCTTTCTTCTTCATTTTTTCAGCGACCTCAAGGAATGCCTGCATCGTCTCGAGCTCGTCTTTGATGAACCTATGCCAAACAAGTGTTCAAAACAAAGAACATTTTCAGGAGAGAATTAGAACAACGCTGATTGGTGCAATTCTAGAGCTATTGGGATTTTGGTTGAGGCTGAAATTTTTCTGAAACTGAAAGTAAAAAACCACAGTGCGTCTTTTCGATAAAGGGTGAATTTTATTATCTCAAGATAAAAGTATCAAAAGCATACACCCGACCTCTGCATAGTTAGGATTCACACAGTCAACACCAACACACGCACACAAAAAACACGCTCACAAATAGCAAAGTCATGCAAGACCAAAGCTATATGTAGGCGAGGAAAAAAACTAGCTCGGATCCGTGATCCGCAAACTAAAACAATGACCATATCCGCACCAACCATCTTATCACATCACACAAACGTCGAGGTTCTTCAACATCAACGCCTTCAGGAAGGGAGCGGCGCCCAATCGCCGCCGTCACCGGATATAACCAGCAAGGTCAGAATCTAAGTTTTCACTCTGAAAAACCAGTCTGAACATATCCGAAAAATACCTTCAACAAAGTAACGACGGAAAAACATCGCCATTGCCAGGTATAACCAACACATGTCGGACCTAGGCTCTCACCCTAGAGCTCAAGAACAGATGCTTGAGTAGCACCATCATCGACGTAACTTGTGTGTTGTCGCCACCACTTTCCCGCAATCCCAGCAGCTACATGTGATGTGCGACCGCTGCCGCTGCACAACCATCCCTCTGCATTAAATCGTCGTTCATAGTTTGCATCTCCCTGCTGAACATGACCACCGGATCTGGAGAGAGCAACACTCGTGAAGACCTTTCGGTGGCCACCGCAATTTACGGCGAGTCCGCCGCCGCTGACGGGAGTGGCGTAGATGATGAAGCCGCTAGATATGCCATTAATCCCCGCACCACTACCACCACCGGATCAGCCGGACAGTTCAGCACACTATGAGAGTCGTGCTTTCAGGGAACATGAAGCCAATAGGCCAAATCACGTATCCCAATGACAACATCACAGAGATCATCTTGCACCACTTGGAGATGGTGAACGCCCCATGGCTGGCTTCATTGTGAGACAACGGGGAGAGGATGCAATCGTGCGAGCTTGCGGCTGTTGAAGGTCAGCATATGGTGATCTGACTAGTCGCTTGGACACAGATGCCATCGCCAGGTAGAGTTAAAGAAGAAGAAGAAGAAGAAGAAGAAGAAGAAAGGGGGCAGGCCCTGCCGCCGCCGCCACGGCCGCTGGTGGCGACGACGGCAGGGAGGAGTACTGGAGGAGGCGGCGCTGGAGATCGGATGGGAAGCCGCCCGTGTCGCCCAGTCGAGCGCAGTGGCGGAGCCAGGAAAATTGGATTAGGGGGGCCAGGGATGTTATAATTGGTTGGAAGGGCCAAACCATTGAAAAAATAGGCTCTTACCTGCAAATGCACACTAATTCTACACTGTTTATAAGTAAATTAGCAGTAAATCCTTGATGTTAGGGGGGGCCAGGGCCCCTGCTGGTCCCCCTGTCTCCGCCACTGGCTCGAGCTGCGCAAGGGCGATCCGTTATTTGTGGGAGTCGAGGTAAAAGAGATAGGACAACTCACAATGAGTGCATCTTCATTAACAGATATCAAACCCGTGAACGTTGTGCACTAAAGAGACTGGTAACTAAGAATATATATGTGTGGGAGAGATGTGCACCGAGTGAAATAAATGTTGCGTGGGATATACATGATGGAGTGGCCGAACAGAGATTAAGCAGCAGCTAGCGATTTGGTCGCAAATTAGCAACATATATACCAGATATCCTTGCGGACGCCGATGAGGAGGCCCATCTCGGCGGCGGCGGCAGAGGTGGCCATGCTGATGGCGCCTCCCAGCATGGACCTCGCCATGCTCAGCACCGTCTCCGCCATGATCTCGGGCACAACTCCGATGATCACAGGCAGGGCCGGTGGAGTTAATCAAGCTGCTGCTCTTAGCACGTATGCGTATGCCGGAGGGAGAGGGAGCGAGGGTGTCTTGTGTAGCTGATTTGATCGGTGAACAGCCCAGCATTTAGGTAAGCTGTCACGGAATGTAATGCCTTTATTTCTTTCTTTCTTTGTTATTAGGTACACCAACTAGTGGCTGACAGGGCAAGATAAAAAGATGCAAAGGAGATGGAGATTGGGGACATATTATAGAATAAGTCTGTGATTTGACCCTCCTCC